TGTAAAACAGCTTTTTGAAATGTACGATACTGTATAACAACGCTTCCTGAATCAGCATTTCATTAAATACATTCAAAGCTTTACCAGACAGTTTTGCAGTCAGTGGGGGGTCTTTTTTGTCCTCAAGAATATTGTGAATCTCACAGAGCCTTTCAAATGTGGTCAGATATTCTTTAGTGCAGGCTGATTCCCTGTACACAGGATACAACTTGTCTGAGCTAAGGGTTCTTTGAGTGGAGGGAGAGATTGGTGATGCTGGGATCTGTCCAGGTTATACATTCGCTGCTCCTCTTCTTGGATCTCTTTCTCTCTCAGCTCCGCAGCTCATGCATGAGCTGCTGCGTCTCACTCTTCTCTTTGCTTCTCACCTTCTAGGGCTTGCCAATAGGCAGCTCCCTGATCTGCTCACCGTTTCTGGTGCTCATGTTCTCTGTCGCTTTCTTCTGCCTCCAGCCTGGCCAGCTCTGGCTTTGCAGTTGCTTCGCTGTTGCTCATTGTGATGCTTTACTGTTTCTGCGTCCCTTACCTGAGACAAGCAGACAGCAAACAAACCAAGGGTGACCTCTCCCTGTCCGCTTCCAGCCACTGCATGCGAGACTTACTTAGAATTTGGTATTAGCGGAGCTTTGAAGCCTAGACGGCTGGTGTCAGTTTCCCCCGGCTAACCCAAGTCACTGCGTCTTCACTGGTAGTTTAACCCCAGTTACGAACATCCCTTGTTTGCAGTGCCTATGTACCCAGTGACCCCCCCCCAGCAATCTTCTGGGCACCCCTCTGGCAGGAAGTCCCACCCCCGACACAAGGAGTGCTCCGCTGTAACCCCCCCATCCTCTCACTTCTCTCTCTCCCCACAGTTTCACTGATTGATTCCTACGAGTCGTCCACGTTCATGTTCCTGGTGTTTGATCTGTGAGTATGAGATTCCTGCGCTCCCATGCCCCTTCCCCCAGAGGGGCCTGCCCAGCCCCCACTTCTCCCACCAGGACCCTACCACGAGTGATCTCCCCCACCCCTGCAGGGGCCTGCCACACCGCAGGGGCCTCCGGCACACTCACGTGTGCCCCCACTCCCTGTAGGGGCCCCCCATGCCCTGGGGCTCTCACACCAGGAATGGAACCAGCCTACCTCCTGCAGACCCCAGAGTTGCTGTGGTGTGGGGTGCCTGTGCCCATGGATCGGGAAAGGTGGTGTCCCCACATCCTGTACTGCCTGCCTGGGCTCCCTCCCACTCCATCCGCTCCCTGGGCCAATTTCCACCCACCCCACCAGGGCTGATCACCCCCAGTCTGCCCTGTCACCCCACCACGGCCACCTGCCCCCCCCCCCCAAGCTGGCTGACAACCCCCTTCTCTCCCCAGGATGCGGCGTGGGGAGCTCTTTGACTACCTGACGGAGAAAGTGACCCTGAGTGAGAAGGAGACCAGGTACCGTACAATGCCCGCTGCTGGGGGAAGCTGGGGCTGCAGTAGCCGGGAGCTCCCCCGCAGCCGCGCTCCTGCCCTGCTCCCCCCAGCACCCTCTGTTTGGCGAGGCAGTGGCTGCAGGAGTGATCTGGCTCTTCCCTCTTCTCCCTCCCCACCCCCCCAGGTGCATCATGCGAGCGCTGCTGGAGGCAGTGAGCTACCTGCATGCCAGCCACATCATCCACCGTGACTTGAAGCCCGAGAACATCCTCATGGACGATCAGCTCAATATAAAGCTCTCTGACTTCGGCTTCTCCTGCCGGCTGGAGCCGGGGCAGAAACTGCGGGGTCAGAGCAGGCTGGGTGGGAGGGGACTGGCTGGCTGGGCCTGGGGGGGAGGACAGGAGGGAGGCCAAGCTGATCTATTGTCAGTGGGAGGGCTGAGCTAGCTGGGTCAATCCAGGGGACTGTGGGGAGGGGAGAGGCCAAGGGGCTGACTGATGGGTGGGGAGGGGTTGGAGGGGAGCACACACCCCAGTCTGGGGGGCTGAGCTATTCAGGGTTGGGGGAAGGGAGAACATGGCTGGGTGGAAGGGGGGAGCTGCTGGGGACTGCTTCGGGGTGGGGGGGAGGGGGGTGCGGGGGCGGGCTGATCCATGGGGCTGATCTGGGAGGGAATTGAAGGGCACTGTTGGTCCCTGCTCACCCATGCCTGGGGTGTCTCTCTTCCCCCTCCCCCACACCAGAGCTGTGCGGGACCCCCGGGTACTTAGCCCCAGAGATCCTCAAGTGCTCCATGGATGAGATGCACCCGGGCTACGGCCAGGAAGTGGACCTGTGAGTCCCTGTTCCAGCAACCACCGTTGGGCTGTGGGGAGAAGGGCTCATTCTGGGGGGGGCGGGGGGGGGGGAGTGGGTGGGCTTGCCCTGTCTACCTCAGTTCCTGTTATGGCTCTTAGACACCCCCATGTGCCCCCTGCTGGCCACCCACCCACCCTCTGTGCGGGATTCTGACCAGGTCCCCAGCTAGTGGTTTCCATGCCTGCCCTCCCCCCAGTACCAGCGCCCTGATGGATCCAGTAGGAATGACTTGACCCCTCCCGCCCCATTGTGTCTGTCCCAGCCCCGTACACATGGTCCCACCTGGCAAGTGATGGGTCTGACTTGAGAGCATGTGGGGGAGGTGGCCCTGTCTGCCATCTGGTGTGGGGAGGGGCCCAGCTCCCCACACAGTGGCCATTGGCCCCTCTTGCTGCTGATCCCCCACTCCTGGCTCCACCCTCTGGCCCCTCCCTGCAGATTCACGGTGGCTGAGTTGTGTCCATGATTCCAGGCCAATGATCCGTCTGTCCATCCCTCCACCCATTGGTCTGTGTCTGTCCATCTGTCCCCCTCCCAGTGGCTCTGCCTACCCTAAGTCTTACTCATGGAACCGTAGCGTGACCTCACCCCCACCTCTCCTCCCCCCAGGTGGGCATGTGGGGTGATCTTCTTCTCCCTGCTGGCTGGCTCACCCCCATTCTGGCACCGCAAACAGATGCTGATGCTGCGCATGATCATGGAGGGGCACTACCAGTTCAGCTCCCCTGAGTGGGATGACCGCTCCGACACCGTCAAGGACCTGGTGAGAGCAGGAGGGCCCCCTGCCATCCCAATTGGATCAGCCTCCTGCAATCGCAACCCCCCAACTCCATCCCCAAATCAATCAGCTTCCCCCCACCCTCTCTGAATAAAACAGTCCCCCCCCCCCCAATGCCCTTGTGCTGAGTGGATTGTCCCCTGGCACCCCGTGGTCTAGTGGCTTAGGCCCCTCTGACGACTCCTGCCCCTGCAGATCTCGCGGCTGCTGTGTGTGGAGCCGGCGGAGCGGCTGACGGCGGAGCAGGCCCTGCAGCATCCCTTCTTCGAGCGCTGCGTGGGGCGCCCGGCCCGGCTGTTCAGCCCCTACCGCCGGTTCAGGGTGAGTCACCTCCTTCTCCCCCTCCCCACTAGCTGGGGCTCTTCCAGGGCTTTCCCCATCACTGTAATGGGCCTTCCAGCAAGAACCCCCTCCCTTGGGTCAGTGGGCTCTTGAGTCCCCAATAACTCCCCCCGGCCTGCACTGAGCTAATGGGCTCTCCCAGGTTCCCCTCTCCCCCTCCCACCTGAATTGAGCTCTCCTGGGTTCTCCCTCTCCCCCCCACTGCACGGAGCTCATGGACTTTGCTGGGTTCTTCAGGGTACATGCCCCCCTCCTCCATGTGCTGCCTTAAGGGGCTCTTGTGACTCCCCCTATCCCTCTTCCTTTTCCATTCTCCCCTTTGCTGGAATAGCCATTCCGCAGCACTGGGGTAATGGCATCTCCCCAATGGTGTGGATAATGGTCTCTCCTTTGCCACCTGGCCTCTCCTCCTCCTTACAGTGGGATGATGGTCTCTGCCATCCCATTCCTCCCCTCTGCAATTGGAAAATGGTCTCCCCTCTGCCCTGTGCTAATGGTTTCCCCTGCTGCCTCATTCCCCCCACATCAGGAACAGGGATACTGGGCTCTCCTGTGTTCCCACCCACTGGGATAATGGTCTCTCCCACGCACCCCCACCCTCCTGCTGATGGTCTGTCCTGCGTGGTAGGTGCTGGTGTGGACAGTGCTGGCCTCCATCCGCATGTTCAACAGCTACCGGGTTCGGACGCGGCCGGTGACGCGGGAGCTGCTGCTGCGTGACCCCTACGCGCTGAAGGGCGTGCGCAAGCTCATCGACGCCTGCGCCTTCCGCATCTACGGCCACTGGGTCAAGAAGGGCGAGCAGCAGAACCGCGCCGCCCTCTTCGAGAACCTGCCCAAGGCCCTGCTGCTGGCCCTGCTGGGCGCGGAGGGCGAGGGGGTGGAGCTGGGCCATGGCGAGGGGGCGGAGCACCACTGCTCCTCTCCACTAGGAGGCAGGGACCAGGCTGGGCTGGGGGAGATCCTGGGGTGACCCCCCTCCTAGCCTGGGAACCGCGAGTGGGGGGTAGGGATGGTTGCACTGAACTTTAGGCCAGGGAACCCTCCACTGGGAGGTTGCAGGGGGGGGCCCTAATGCAGGTTTGTCAGGGATCTCTGGACAGGAAGGGGCAGTCCTGACTGGGTGAGGTTTAAGGACCCCATGTGTGTCTGGCAGGGAGGGGGCTGGTGTGCTGTGTGCATCCCCCTGCCCTTGTCTTTTTTTTTTTTTTTTTTTTTAACTTGGTCAGTATTGCAGCCTGGGGGAGATGGGGCCAAATCCTCCCCTCCACCTAGATGGCAGAGTTGGGGAGATGGGGCCAAATGCTCCCCCCCCCACCACCATGGCTTAGCCAGGCCCCGCTGATGTAGCTTGGTTAATTTTTACTTTTTTCCTGTAGTCTGAATTCCTGTGAATTAGAATAAAAATCTGTTGTGACCCCTACAGCCCCTGGGGGTCCTTCCTTCGTCTGTACTCCCAGCAGGGGCCCCAGGTCTGGGAGTGCAGGGACTGGGGGCTGTCTCCCCAGCAGGGGGCACTGTCCCTGGGGCAGGGGCAGTGGGGGGGGACCTTGAGACTGGGGTTCCCCCCCCCAGCAGGGTGCAGTTTCCCAGGGCAGTGAGACATGGCACCACCGTAGAATTGGAGTCCTTTATTGCACTCTTTTCTCCCCTCACTTCCGGCGGCCCCGGCCGCCCCCCTTGGAGGAGTTGGGCACCTTCTCCAGCAGGGCCAGCTTGGCGTTGAACTGTTCCTCGCTGGCCCGTAGCTGCTCCTCCACTGCCAGCCGCAGCTGGGCCATCTCCTGGCAGAGTTGAGCCGAGATGTATTCCCGCAGCGGGGCCCTAGGGCCTGGAGGGGGGAGAGGGGTGAAGAAAGCAGCCAACCAGATCCCTCACCCTAGATTTGGAGCAGGGCTGGTGCCCCCCAGAAGGAAAAAGCCTAGGTCCCATTCCCCACCCCCACCCTGGGGCCAGTCTGGAGGCCCCGTTTGCCCCCAAAGGGGAAAGGCCCTGTATCTCATTCCCGGCCTCACTCTTCCTCACTCTCTTACTCTCACTGGGGGCTGTAGGTCCACTGTCTGCTTCCTCCTCTTGCACTGGGGGGACAGGCGCCGTCACGCTCTCACCCAGCTCTCCTGCTGGGGGGTGAAGACAGTGGATAATCAGGGTGGGGCTTGGCTTCATTGGCTGGATGCTCCACCTTCCCGTGCCTCCTAAAGCCCCCTCCTCCCTTCTGTGGTGTCTGGGAGCTTGTCCCGCCCAGCACCCTCAGGTGCCCCACTCTGCTGGCATCAAAAAGCCACTGTCTCAACGTTCTTTGGCTGGGAATTGCCGTCCTGTTCGAGCATTTTCACCTTGGCTCCGAGGCCCCAGGGCTTGCTCTTGGTCAGCAGCAGAAAGGAGAAGCCCCAACCATCTCCCCCCTGCACCTCCCAACCAAACCCCTCCTATGGGTACGAAGGAGGGTAAACTCCTCTGAGTTCATCTGCATGGCCGAGAGGTTTTGGGGTCCGGCGAGCACCAGCTACTCACCCAGCTCAGCCGCGGGCTCCGGCTCTGGCATTCCCACGTAGGACAGCGATATGTCCAGCCGGATCTGCGAGGGGAGAAAACAGGGCCGTCCTGGAAGCTGTAGGGGCTGAGGTAGGTCTTGGGCTGGGCACGCCTGCCCTCTGCTAGCTTCCCCATGTGGGTGGAGGACTCAGAAAGGGGGCCTGTGTGCAGCTAAGCCATGCGGGTGGTGGGGCAGGCCAGGTCCCCAGGGGGTGTTGGGTGTGGCTGACACTGGAGGTGCCATACCCCATGGGATTCCCCGGGGGGCGCCATACCTGCGGTGTGAAGGCGTACTTGTACAGCTTGAAGTGGCGGAAGTAGGTGTTCACCACATAGTCGCTTATGAGTGCCAGCTGCTCCTGGCTGAAGAGGTCGATGCTGAATGGAGGCCGCTGGGGGTGGGGAGAGGAGAAGGTGAGGCAGGAGATGGGCAGAGGCTCCCCACCCCACACTCATCCCTCTAACTGGGCCCTGCCAGGGGGGAGCTGGCAACAGCAAGGGGTCCCTGGCTGGAGCTGTCCCTCCCTGGCCCGTGGGCGGGTGCCGAGTGGCGGGGCTCACCCGTATGGCGTGGCAGAAGAGCAGCTCGGTGAAGTAGCGGTAACATTCCTCCACATTGGGCAGGGGTGTCTCTGGGGGAGCAGAGATGAGTGTGAGGGACCTGCACACCCCATGGCCACCCCCCACCCTGCAAGCTCCTCCCCACTAGCCACACCATCTTCCAGGCTCCTCCTCTTCCTTCCCCATGCCCACCCCCACTGCCTCTCTCCACAGCCATGTTCAACCTCCAGGCTTCTCCTGAGAGCCCCACCCACCTTGTAGGCTCCTCCCCCTCCCTGTGCCCATCCCTACTCACGGAGGGTCCTCTACACCCCACTCATTTTTGTGGGCTCCTCCCTTGAGACTCATCCCCTTTCTTTAGGCTCTCCTGCCCCCCCGCCCCAATTCCCTGACTCCCTCCTCCCACAGAGGCCAAGAGTGCCTCCCAGTGCCCGCTCTTACCCACACAGGCCTCGTGGGTGTCTTTGACGATGGTGAAGAAGGCGGAGCTTTGCTCCCGGCTGAAGCTGTGCTCCCGGCTGAACTGCACCGTGTAGAAGTAGAGATCCAGCAAGATGGCGGCCCGTGGGTCCGATTCCCAGCCCTGCAGCTGGAACAGCTCCGCCAGCACCCTGCGAACAGGGGGCCACAGGCTCCAGGGGTGGGGAGTCTCCCCACCCAGGGGCCCCCTCGAGGGTGGGGGGCCCTAGGGAGGACCTGAGAGTACAGGGGGGCTGGTAGGGGGTGCTCTCCCTACCATGGAAGGACAATGGGGGGGGGACTCCAAGCCTAGGTGCAGGGGATGGGGGTATCCCCCCAGGACTGGGGGGCACTGACCTAGAGTCTTCCCCGAGTCCTACGATCAGTTACCTCTTCAGCTCGTCGGTGGTCTGCGCTTTGTTGATGAGGTCCATGGAGTGAACGTCCAGGTACTTCCTGCACCAGGGAGAGGGGCCCCAATGCCGTGAAAGAGCATCATTTGAAGCCCCAGCATGGGCTCAACAGCCCGTTGGGGAACGTCGACAAGAGACCATCTATTAATATGGCAGGTTAAGGAGATACGTTGGGTCTCCCAGCTGAGCCGTTTCTGCCATTCCCAAGTACTGCATACCCCCTCCCTGCTCTAGCTGCAGGGCGTTCGCATTATCTGCATTTTAAGGACATAGTTCGTCCTATGGGCTGGGTGCACCAGAGACTCCAGAACCAGTGGGGAGATAGGTTCACCTGATCAGCTGTAGCCTGGTATGTACCCTGACCCCAAAGGCCGTCCCTAATTTAGATTGCCTGTGCCAGGCCTGGAACCCAAACCAAGCGGGTAGTGCCTTGCAAAGCATTACAAACTCAACACGTGATCTACCGAGCGCCATCCTTGTGGCCCAAGATACAACCCTTTGGCTAGAAGTAGGTAGGAGGATAAACGGCCTTCCCAGAACTGGGCTGTGGGCTAAATCCCATCAATTTAGAAACGCTTCAGCTCCCGGGAAGCTTGGTTCTCTAGATCAGTGCTCGGAGCCAAACAATCTGTGGGGGAGAGATGGAAGAGCAGAAGCCTGGCACGGTGACTTGGCCGACATGGCAGCTAACGAGCATGAATGTTTCAGAGAAGAGGGACCTCGGACAAATTTGAAAAGATCTGGTCTGACTTTTTAGATGCTTTTGATTAATTCCTAGCAGATGGAAACCAACATGGCACTCTCCTTTTCCTGCCCTTCCAGTTGCTTTCTTTTTTTGTTCTTTTTGTCTTGTTTGTTCTCCACCTACTTTTGGGAGCAATCAATAAAATACACATAACTATCAGAAGCTGCATCTTGGGTCGGGCAGCTGGGTAGCAGCCACACAGCGACACCACGTGGAGTGGCTTGCTTGGCACTGAGATGCAGCTGCCTCTGGGGTGGGGAGGTGGGTAAGAGCCATGCAGAGACGCTGCACGGGAATGGCTTGCCTGGCGCTGAGATGAAGGTGCCTCTGACTGTGTAACAGCCACAGAGCGATGTGCCCAGAGCGCCCCCTTTGGAGGGGTTGGATGCTACTCACCACATGCAGATCTTGGCTTCATGGCACTGGGGCTGAAAGAGAGAGTGGTGTGGGGTGTCAGTGAACATGATGGGGATGGGGTGTGGCCAAGACATTGGGATGGGGGGAAATGACAGGTCCCACATGCCCCACCCTGAGAGGGGGTAGCCTGGCCAGTGGCCATAAGAATTAGCTGGTTGATGTTCCTAATGGGTTGGTAAAGCTGGGGGTGTTCGATAGTTTAATTCATATCAGATTATCAGAAACCGAGACAATTTGCCTGTATGTAATGATGAATATCATGAGCTAACCAACAATGTGCTCAACATCAGTGAGGAGACAATCAGCCGGCAGGAGGTGACGGATATTCATGAGGCGATCAGCAATGTGATTAATATTCATGAGGACATGGTCAATCAGCTGTGGATGTTGACTTTTCTTGAGACATGCTTACATGTACAACCTACATATGTACAAGAACCTACATCACAAAACAGAATTTCCCTCCTGACATTTTGAAATTTGGTTTTGTTCCGAGTCAGAACAAAAGCTGAAATTTCTTGTGGAAATTTTGAAAAATTGTTCTTTGGAACCATCAAAACGTTTCGTTTCGACAATGTGGAATTGCCCACTTTTGACAATGTCAAAATGTTTTATTCTGATAATAATAATAATACCACCAATTTCTTAGTGCTTTTCCTCAGTAATTTCCAAGCGCTCCAGAATCTTTAATTGTATGCAGAGTAGTTGGAGCTGTGTCAGTCTCAGGATATTAGAGAGACCAGGGGGGTGAGGGAATATCTTTTATTGGACCAACTTCTGTTGGTGAGAGAGAGAAGCTTTCAAGCTACACAGAGCTCTTCTTCAGCTCTGCGAAAGGTACTCCAAGTGCTACAGCTCTAACTATTTATGCTAAGCAACCTGTTCCACCTTGCATTTAGCGGGTGCTGCAAGGCAGAGGTCCTGAGCTTCCCCTCACCCCCAAATCTGGCAGGTGAAGGGGGGGAGGCTGCGGGCTGCACTTTAATGGTAAAAGAGCCATATGTTGGCCACCTCTATATTATAGTGTCCGTAACATTGACATACGTGCAATGATGAGTGTTTTTAAAGCTGTGGAAATTCAGTAGGTGACAAATCTTACTGAGGGGGAAGTAATTAGGTAATGCTGGGTTTGGATATTCAGAGTGTGATCAAGGTAAATGAGATGGTGAATATTCAGGAGATGATGCATATTAAGGAGGTGATCGAGGAGTGAATAGTCATTTTGAATTACTATTAATGAGCGGTTTCAGAGTAGCAGCTGTGTTAGTCTGTATTCGCAAAAAGAAAAGGAGGACTTGTGGCACCTTAGAGACGAACCAATTTATTTGAGCGTAAGCTTTCGTGAGCTAAGTGAGCTGTAGCTCATGAAAGCTTACGCTCAAATAAATTGGTTCGTCTCTAAGGTGCCACAAGTCCTCCTTTTCTTTTTATTAATAAGCAATGACAATTAAAAATGATTGGTGATTCAAGGCTGATCTCTACCACGGATTTACATATGGGTCCTGAGATGACTCAGAAGTCGGATCCTGGAACTGCAAACCCATCCCCTAAAGGTACAGACATTTCGTGGCAGGCCAGCTGCCTGCTGGGAGAAAGTTAGTTCTTTCTTTTTCCTTCCTTCTCTCTCTCTTTTCAGCTTTGAGGGCAAGGTGCTTCTCCTCAAAGCGGGCTACTGCCTGATGAAGGATATGGCGCCATCGGGGTCGGCTGGTGGCTTGCTCCTCCAGTTTGTGATGTCCACATCAGTTTTCTTAAGATACACTTTCAGTGTGTCTTTGCAGCGTTTCCTCTGACCACCACGGGATCTCTGACCACGGGCGAGCTGAGAGCAGAGGACTTGTTTTGGGAGGCGAGAGTCTGGCATCCGCGCACAGTGTCCAGCCCAGCGAAGTTGGTGCAGGAGGATCATTGCTTCAATGCTGGTGACATTGGCTTCAGCGAGGATGCTGGCGTTAGTGCGGCGATCTTGCCACCTGACGCAAAGGATCTTCCGGAGGCATCACTGGTGATACCTCCCCAGACGCTTGAGGCGCTGTCGACAGGTCTCCCAGGTTTCGCAGCCGCAGAGGAGCGTGGGAACAACAAATGTGTTATCGGCTGGATCTCGGTGTCCTGCCGTCGGTCACGAGCCGTGCCAACGCGTCGGAGCAATTTCCCAAGGGAAGCCCTTGCGCACTGGAGCCTGAGCTGGGCCTCGCGGTCGATGTGAATACGTGACAGGGGTTCGGCTGCTGGTGTGTGCCAGATCACGCTGGCGAATACTGCTCCCTTGGGCCCTCCGGTGTCTTGTGTGACACTGGGATTGTCGTTTGGTTCCGCGTCTGTCCCGCGCCAAGGTCCCCGGGCTCCTCCTGGTCTGTGACTGGGGCCTCCAGCTGCCACCCTCAGGCACGGAATAAACAATGTGCAGCGCCTAGCACAAGGGGGCGTGGCCCAGGGCGGGGCTCCTCCGGGGTGCGAGGGGGGAGCGATCAGCGCGTGGGCGGGGGCTAAAGGGCAAACGAGCGAGAGGACGCGCCCCGGCGGAAACCGCCCCGGCCCGCCTGCCGCTTGGGCGGTGAATATTTACATGCTCATGAATATTCATGAGCGGCTATGCGGGGGGGGGGGGCGGGGTTTGCTCACGCTCCCTGAGTGGACAGGGACGGCCCCCAGGCACGAATCAGAGGCCACCATGACGAGCCGATGAATATTCATGAGTCGATGAATATTCAGGAGCCGATGAATATTCATGAGGTGGTCGAAGACCCGCGGGGGGCCCCCCCCAGGCTGGGTCTTTGTGGCGCGGTTGCCATGGCAGCGGCAGCAGCGTGGCCCCCGCCCCGCCCCGGGCTCACCTGCTTCAGGCGGTCCCCCGGCCCCATCGCTGCGGCGGCGCCGGCTCCCGCTAATGCGTGGGACGCGTCGCCACGGCAACCCCCGCTCCGCCAATCAGAGAGGGTATCGGGGCTCGAGCCAATCAGAGAAGGATTCACTGGATGGGTGAGAGCCCATTGACCAATCGCCGACGTCGTCTTTGTCCAGCCAATCACAATGTGTATCTGTGCTGGGCTACGACCGAGTTTTAATTCCTTCAGCCAATCAAAAACGGTCTTTTCGGCTCAGCGGGCTTCAGCCAATCAGCGCATGTCTCTCTTTGAGGGCTGGTTTCCACGATCCAATCACAGAAAGCCTCTTTCACCTCTCAGCCAATCCCCAGCCTGTCTCTAACATCAGCCAATCTTCGGCAGGGACTCTCGTCGACTAACCCCGCCCCTCCCTCGCTCTCATCCAATGGGAGAAGAAGGGGGAAAAAACTCGTCCCGCGCATGTGCAACGCGAGGTAGGGGGCGGGTGTTGGGAGTGTCAGGTCAGCGCGTGCGCAGTGGTGCGGCTGGGGGTGGGCCTGGCACGGGAAGCCGCTGGGAGTGGGAGCGCGAGGCAGGTGAGCGGTGCGGGAGGGCTGGCAACGGGGGGAGGGAGGCAAAGGGGGTGAGCGGTGGGGGTTGGAGGTGAGGGGGGGCATGGGGGTGAGCGGTGGGGGTGAGGGAGTGGGAGGGGTGGCAAGGGGGGAGGGAGTGGGAGGGGTGGCAAGGGGGGAGCGGGGGGGGGAGGGGGTGGCAAGGGGGTGAGTGGTGAGGGGAGGGGGTGCGGGTGGCAAGGGGGTGAGAGGTGGAGGGAGGGGGGGGCATGGGGGTGAGCGGTGGGGGTGAGGGGTGGGAGGGGTGGCAAGGGGGGAGGGAGGTGAGGGCTGGCAAGGGGGTGAGCGGTGGGGGTTGGGGGGAGGGGTGGCAAGGGGGTGAGTGGTGAGGGGAGGGGTGGCAAGGGGGTGAGCGGTGGGGGTTGGGGGGAGGGGTGGCAAGGGGGTGAGCGATGGGGGGAGGGGTGGCAAGGGGGTGAGTGGTGAGGTTTGGGGGTGCGGGTGGCAAGGGGGTGAGGGGTTGGGTAGGTTGGGGGATTTAAGGGGTGCCATGGGGTTGGGGAGGTGAGGGCTTTGGGGATAGCAAAGGGAGATGAGGGGGGTTGGGTAAGGGTCCAGGGAGTGCGGGGCGGGGGGGCAGAGATCATGAGGGTAGGGAGGTTTCTGACCCCTCTCTGTTTTCCGCTCCAGGTGAGGTGCAGCTCCTGGGCTGATCCCCTGCCCCCAGCTGCTGCTTCCAGAGCCCCCGGCCAGCGGCGTCATGTCGGGGCCGGGGAGCAAGCGGGCGGCTGGGGATGGGGGCTCAGGGCCCCCTGAGAAGAAAGCCAACCGGGAGGAGAAGACGACCACCACCTTGATCGAACCCATCCGCCTGGGGGGCATCTCCTCCACGGTCAGTGCTTGGGCTAGGGACTGTTGGGGGCAAGGGGGGTTGGTGGATGGAGGGCATTTGGGGAGGTCAAGAGAAACTGGGAGCATGGAAGGGATTTGGGAACCCTGACTGGGCAGGTGGGATGGGGGCGTGGGGACACTGGGTGTAATTTGGGGAGGGCAGGGTGGGGGATTGAGAAGTGGGGGAAGAGGCAGCTGCGGTGGTGGTGGGGGTGACAGGGAGCCACTGCTGACCCCCCCCACCCCCCGTTGATCCCCCCAGGAGGAGATGGACCTGAAGGTGCTGCAGTTCAAGAACAAGAAGCTGGCGGAGCGGCTGGAGCAGCGCCAGGCCTTTGAGGACGAGCTGCGTGAGCGCATCGAGAAACTGGAGAAGCGCCAGGCCACAGACGATGCTACCCTGCTCATTGTCAACCGTTACTGGAGCCAGGTGAGACCCATGTCCCTCCCCCGGCCATGGCCCTCTCCCCACGATCTCTCCTGCCGCCTCCCCCAACTGTGCATTCCACACCCACCCCTCCTCCCCTCCCGGCCACAACCCTCTGGCCTTGCATTGCACTACCCTGTCGCAATGCCTCATCACCACCACCCTACCCCTGCCACGCATCCCCCACCCTGCCTCGTTGTTTATCGTCATCTGCAGTTGGAGAGCCGTCCCTCTGGACCCTCAGCATATCTCCCAGTGACCACAACAGGCTGCCTACAGTGAGACCTCGGCCTGCTGTACTCTAGTGGGGTTGAGTGATTGGGGGCTGCAAGCCAGGACCTCTGGGTTCTTAGCTCTGTTACCACAGTCTTTCTTTGTCCCTCCCAGAGACCTTCCTCCTGGGTGTACGTTTCCCCCAGCCAGCGGAGGGGGGCACAGATGTTTATATCCTCTGCCAAACCTGAGCTGGGCTGACACCCCCACCCCCATCTCCATCTCCCTGCAGCTGGATGAAAATGTGCAGGTCCTGCTGAGAGGCTATGATGGGGACTGTGAGCCCCCACCTCCCGCAGCCCCTGCTGCCCCCTCTGCAGAGGAACCCGGGCCAGAGCCAACAGGACCGGACCCTGAGAACACAGCCAGCCCTAGTACCGAGGGCCCAGATAGGACAGGTGAGCATGGGAGAGGTACCAGGCTGCAGGGGGTGCTGCGCTGGGTCAGGGGTGGTGCTGCACTAGGGCAGGGGGTTCAGCGGGGCAGGGGCATTCAGCAGGGGGTGCTCTCCCCTCGCAGTGATCTCAACATAGCGCTAAAACAGGGGTGGGCAAACTACAGCCCGCAGGGCCACAGGGATGTGGTGATGGCTGCTTCCGGCAGCAGCGAGGTGCCAGGGCAGGCAGGGAGCCTGCCCTCACCCCAGTACGCACCGCTGCCACCCTGGAGCCGCTCCAGGTAAGCGGTGCTGGCTGGAGCCCGCACCCTGAACCCCTCCTGTACCCCACACCCCAACCCCCTGCCCTGAGCCCCCTGCTGCACCCCACACCCGTTCTGCACCCCAACCCCCTGCCCTGAGGCCCCTCCCATACTCCAGACCCCTCCTGCACCCCAACCCCTTGCCCTGAGCCCCTTCCTACACACCGCACCCCCTCCTGCCCCTCCTCCCGCACCCCCTGCCCCAGCCCTACACTCGGCCCTGCATGCAATTTCCCCACCCAAATGTGGCCCTTGGGCCAAAATGTTTGGTCACCCCTGTGCTAAACCCTTCTCTGTCCTCTCCATCCCCACAGAAACAACTCTACCTGTTGCAGCCCCGTCAACCCCCTGGAAGGCCGGGGGGCTCCTGCTGAATGAGCCAGCCCTGTCATTCCTGGCCACCCTGGCCAGCAGCAGCAGCGAGGAGATCGAACTGCAGCTGCAGGAACGCATGGAGTTCTCCAAGGCCGCCGTGTCCCGTGTGGTCGAAGTCTCCAACAAGATCCACCGGCGCACGGAGGAGCTGTGCCAGAAGATCCATTCCCGTGGTGAGCCGAATGCCAGGGTTCCATCCTGGCCGTGGGAGCGGAGTGAGATCTAGGGGGTTAGAGTTGGGGCACTGGGAGTCAGGACTCCTGGATTCTCAGAGGTGTGACTCCTTTTCAGCTGACTTGGACCAGCTGGATGAGGCGCTGAAGTCCTTGAACAAAGAGCTGATGAGAGAGAATCAGCGGCTGCAGGACTTGGCGATGCAGCTGCAGGAGAAACACCACAAGATCTCGCTGGAGGTACGAGCCGGTTCTCAGGGCAGAGGGGCTGGCTGGCTGGCACAGGGGTAGGGAATGAGTCGCAGGACCTTTCCCCTCTGGGGGCATTGGCTCTGACCGCAGAGTCAGGGGCTATCTGGCCTGGAGTGGATCCAGCCCCACTCATCTGTGTCTCTTTCTGGCGCAGTACACAGAGCTGCAGGACAAGGTGACATCGTCGGAGACCAAGGTGCTGGAGATGGAGACGACGGTGGAGGATCTGCAGTGGGACATCGAGAAGCTGCGCAAGCGTGAGCAGAAGCTCAACAAACACCTAGCTGAGGCGCTGGAGCAGGTGACCTGCCCCCATGTCCAAGGCTTCCCTCTCCTCATCCCCCCAGGCCCCTTTCTGTGTCTCACTGCTCCCATCTGGCCCCATTGCAGCTGGAGCCATAGTTTCTCTGCCGCTTATATCTGGGTCCCTCTCCCCCTCATCCCCCATATCTGGGGCTTGTTGCCACATTTGCCCATTGCTCAGAGCACTTGGGAGGCCTGATCGGCAAGGGGGTGGCTGACTCTCTTTCTGGCCTTTTGCAGCTGAACTCCGGTTACTACGTGTCAGGCAGTTCCGGGGGCTTCCAGGGCGGGCAGATCACGCTCAGTATGCAGAAGGTGAGGGGGCAGAGGGAGCTGGGGACATGGGAGGGGCAGGGATCTCTGGCACTTGGGCAGGGGAGGTGAGGGTCTCAGTGGGTGGGGTCCCAGTGCAGAGAGGGGCGGGGCTCTCTGGCACTGGGGTGGGGGAGTCTGGCCCTGAGGTTAGGGAGCATCTTCATGCTGGGTGGGGTCCTGGTGCAGGAAGGAGCGGGGCTGGGAGGGTGGGGTCTCATAGCATGCGTTGAGGCAGCCGCTGGGTGGGGGTCTCGAGGCGGGTGGGAGGTAGGGCTCTGGTGACAGAGTCTGTCTCGGCAGTTTGAGATGCTGAACGCGGAGCTGGAGGAGAACCAGGAGCTGGCCAACAGCCGCATGGCCGAGCTGGAGAAGCTGCAGCAGGAGTTGCAACAGGCTGTCAGGACCAATGAGAAGCTCAAGGTAACGAGGTGGAGGGCGGCGCCCCCTGGAGCCAGGCTGGGCGGTGGGGCCTGGGCGGGAGGGGTGGAGGGCGGCGCCCCCTGGAGCCAGGCTGGGCGGTGGGGCCTGGCCGGGAGGGGTGGAGGGCGGCGCCCCCTGGAGCCAGGCTGGGCGGTGGGGCCTGGCCGGGAGGGGTGGAGGGCGGCGCCCCCTGGAGCCAGGCTGGGCGGTGGGGCCTGGGCGGGAGGGGTGGAGGGCGCGCCCTGGAGCCAGGCTGGGCGGTGGGGCCTGGCCGGAGGGGTGGAGGGCGGCGCCCCTGGAGCCAGGCTGGGCGTGGGGCCTGGGCGGAGGGGTGGAGGGCGCCCCTGGGCAGGCTGGGCGTGGGGCTGGCGGGGTGGAGGCGCCCCTGAGCCAGGCTGGGTGGGGCTGGCGGAGGGGTGGAGGCCCTGGACAGGCTGGGCGTGGGCTGGCCGGGGGGGTGGAGGCGGCCCCTGGAGCCAGGCTGGGCGGGGGCCTGGCCGAGGGGTGGAGGGCGGCGCCCCCTGGAGCCAGGCTGGGCGGTGGGGCCTGGCCGGGAGGGGTGGAGGGCGGCGCCCCCTGGAGCCAGGCTGGGCGGTGGGGCCTGGCCGGGAGGGGTGGAGGGCGGCGCCCCCTGGAGCCAGGCTGGGCGGTGGGCCTGGCCGGGAGGGGTGGAGGGCGGCGCCCCCTGGAGCCAGGCTGGGCGGTGGGGCCTGGCCGGGAGGGGTGGAGGGCGGCGCCCCCTGGAGCCAGGCTGGGCGTGGGGCCTGGCCGGGAGGGGTGGAGGGCGGCGCCCCCTGGAGCCAGGCTGGGCGGTGGGGCCTGGCCGGGAGGGGTGGAGGCGGCGCCTGGACCAGGCTGGGCGGTGGGGTCTGGCCGGGAGGGGTGGAGGGCGGCACCCCCTGGAGCCAGGCTGGGCGTGGGGCCTGGCCGGGAGGGGTGGAGGGCGGCGCCCTCTGGAGCCAGGCTGGGCGGTGGGGCCTGGCCGGGAGGGGTGGAGGGTGGTGCCCCCTGATGCCAGGCCTGGGGGGAGATGTGGGGAGGCTGGCTGGGGGTGGAGGCCGGTGTCTGTGGCAGTGACTCCCCAGGCCCGCAGGTGGCGCTGCGGTCGCTGCCCGAGGAGGCGGTGAAGGAGACCCTGGACTACAAGGTGCTGCAGTCCCAGTTCTCGCTGCTCTACAACGAGAGCCTGCAGGTGAAGACCCAGCTGGACGAGGCACGCGCCCTGCTGCTCACCACCAAGAACAGCCACCTGCGCCACATTGAGCACATGGAGGTGAGGCTGGGTGGAGGAGTCACGGTGGGGGCGGGGCCTCTTGGGAGGGGCGGGGCCTGTGAGGGGAATGCACCACGCTTTCTGTGCAGGGGGCGGTTACTGTTTTGGAGAGCCTGTGCCACGTTGGAGGGTACCATTTCTGGTGCAGTGCCTCATTGCGTTGGGATGTGGGTGGCCAGGGGTGGAGGAGCGCTTACCATGCTGCCTGCAGGGAAGCCAACTGGGGTTGGGGGAGAGTGATTCCTCCCCCCGTCTCTCACCCTCCGCCCGCCCCAATGCAGAGCGACGAGCTGAACCTGCAGAAGAAGCTGCGCACGGAGGTGATCCAGCTGGAGGACACGCTGGCCCAGGTGCGCAAGGAATACGAGATGCTGCGCATCGAGTTCGAGCAGAACCTGGCCGCCAATGAGCAAGCGGGTGAGAAAGAAACACTTCCCCCTCCCCCATGCCCGGCCCCGTGGTACAGGCCGGCATGGTGTATCGCCCGGCCCTGTGTGTAACTTTGTGGTACAGCCTTGTGTGGAGTGCGTGCCTCCCCCACGTAGTGTAGCCCAGTGGGGTGGGCAGGCCGGCCCCTCATAAGGGAGCTCTGTCTCTGCCTGCTGGAAGCTTCCCTCACCAGTGCCCTGCCACCAGCCACCTACCCCCCATGGCAGATGCCCCCCGTTTCTCAAGTGCTTCCCCCCATCCTGAGACAGCAGGTTCCTCTTCCCCCTGTGTAACCCTGCCCTTCCCCCCCAGGTCCCATTAACAGGGAGATGCGCCACCTGATTAGCAGCCTCCAGAACCACAACCATCAGCTGAAAGGAGACGTGCAGCGATACAAGCGCAAGCTGCGTGAGGTGCAGGCTGAGATCAACAAGGTGAGAGATCCGCTGGGGAGGGGTGCGCTCAACGATCCGCTCTGCGGGAGGGGAGGGCTTGACTGGAGCAAGGGCAGGGAGGGAGGGATCCATTTAGGGATCTGCTCTGAGGGGCAGAGACGGATCCACTTGAAGCGTGGGGCTGCATTTAGAGATCCATTTGGGGCAGGGAAGGATCTGTTCTAGGGGAGAGGCTTGATTAAGGATCCCCTTGGGGGGCCGGGGAGGGATCTGTGGGGGGGATGCGGGGTTTGGGGATTGGCTTAGGGGGGTCAGGGAGGGATGGGTTGGGGAGGTGTGGGGTTTAGGGAATCTGCAGCCCAGGTGTCTCACTCCGACTCTCTCTCTCCCAGATCCGAATGCAGTCAAGTGGCTTCCCCTGCGGCTCAGCTGTGCTGCCCCCCGCATCTGGGCCGGAGGAGCCGGTGGGCGGGGTCCCAGCTGTGGCGGTGAAGGAGGAAGAGGGGGGCACGCCTGCCCTAGAGGTGAAGAAGGAGCCAAAGGAGGCAGTGGTGGCTGTGGTGAAGAAGGAGGAGGCAGTGCCCCTGCCTGAAGGGGGTGTGAAGAAGGAGGAGGAGGAGCCACTCCCACCGGCTCCCCAGCCGCCCCCCCCTCCTCGCATCAAGGAACCACCAGAGCGCCCCAAGGGGGGCCGCGGGGGGGACCGGGAGCGTTCGCGGGACCGTGACAGGGATGGCTCGGCTCGTGAGCGCGACCGCCAGAAGAGCAGCGATGACCCCAAGAAGAAGGACTCAGACCTGCTCAAGCAGCTGCGCATTGAGCTCAAGTGAGAAAACCCAGGTGTCCGGGGGAAGGGGGTGGGGGGGAGGAGCTTGCAGGGGGGTCCCAGGCTGGCTGTGGTGTGCAGGGCCTTGATTCCTCTCCCCCCCAGGAAGGCCCAGGAGAGCCAGAAGGAGATGAAGCTGCTGCTGGACATGTACAAATCAGCCCCTAAGGAGCAGCGGGACAAGGTGCAGCTCATGGCTGCTGAGAAGAAGACGAAGGCCGAAGTGAGTGAGACCCTTGTGGGCTGGGGGGGTCTGGAGGGTGGGTCTATGGGTAGAATGCAGGTTGAGGGGTAGGGTTTGCCTCACTCTCTGTATGGGCAGATATGGGACAGTGACCCCCGTCTTTCTGCCCCCTGCAGGCAGAGGAGCTGCGGGAATGGTTATGGGGCTGACACACCATATCTCTGCCCCCTGCAGGTGGAGGAGCTGCGGGGGGGAAGCTATGGGGTTGTGATGCCATTTCTGCCCCATGCAGGTGGAGGAGCTGCGAGGGCGGGTACGGGAGCTGGAGGAGAAGGAGAAGAAGGAGAGCAAGAAGATGGCCGACGAGGATGCCCTGCGCAAGATCAAGCTGGCAGAGGAGCAGATTGAGCACCTGCAGAAGAAACTGGCTGCTACCAAGCAGGTACTGGGGTAGGGGAGTGGAGGGCGGATGGGTTGGGGGTGGTTAGTGGTGGGAGTTTCCCCTGAATGGGGTGGGGAGGGGAGATCTGGCAGGATTGGGGAGCTCTGTGGGTGGGGCTGGGCAATCTGGCAGAAAGGACTTAGCAGGGGAGGGCATCCAGGCCCCCCTGACTTCATGGCCTCGGGCTTCAGGAGGAGGAGGCCCTGCTGTCGGAGATGGATGTGACTGGCCAGGCCTTCGAGGACATGCAGGAGCAGAACATGCGCCTCATGCAGCAGCTGCGTGAGAAGGACGATGCCAACTTCAAGCTCATGTCAGAGCGGATCAAGTCCAACCAGATCCACAAGCTGCTGCGTGAGGAGAAGGACGAGCTGGCAGATCAGGTGCTGGCTCTCAAGTCACAGGTAGGGGGTGCTGCAGGGAGTGGGATGGGGGCTCAGTAGTAGGGTTGCCAACTGTGTTATCACACAAACCCAAACACCCTTGCCCTGCCTCTTTTCCGAGGCCCCACCCTCCTCACTCCATCCCCCCTCCCTCTGTCGCTTGCTCTTCTTCCACTCTCACTCATTTTCACTGGGCTGGGGCAGGGGGTTAGTGTGCGGGAGGGAGTGCCGTCTCTGGGCTGGGGCTGAGGGGTTTGCAGTGTGGGAGGGGACTCCGGGCTGAGTCTGGGGCAGGGGGTTGAGGTGCAGGAGGGGATGCGGGTGCAAGCTCTGGGAGGGAGTTTGGGTGTGGGAGGGGGCTCAGGGCTGGGGCAGGGGCTTGGGATGGAGGAGGGAGTGTGGACTCTGGGAGGGAGTTTGGGTGTGGGAGGGGGCTCAGGGCTGGGGCAGGGGGTTGGGGTGCGGGACAAGGTGAGGGGTGCAGACTCTGGGAGAGAGTTTGGATGCAGGAGGGGGCTGGGACAGGGGCTTGGGTGCAGGAGGGCGTTTGGGTGCGGGAGGGGGCTCAGGGCTGGGGCAGGGGGTTGGGGTGCTGGCTCTTGGAGGGGGCTCAGAGCTGAGATACGGGGTTGGAGTATGGGAGGGCATGTGGGGTGCTGGCTCCGGGAGGGGGCTCAGGGCTGGGGCAGAGGGTTGGGATGCGGGAGGGGGTGTAGGGTGCTGGCTCTAGGAGGGGGCTTAGGGCTGGGGCAGGGATGTGAGGGTGTGGGGTGCTGGCTCCGGGAAGGGGTTCAGCGGTGGGGCAGGGGGTTGGGGTGCTGGAGGGGCTGCAGGCTACAGCAGGACGGCGCTTATCTCAGGCAGCTCCCAATGGGCGGCGCAGTGGGGCTAAGGCAGGCACCCTGCCTGCCCTGGCCCCTTGCAACTCCTGGAAGCGGCCGGCATGTCCCTGCGGGGGGTCACCAGGGGGCTCTGTGCTCTGCTCATGCAGCTCCCATTGGCTGCAGTTCCTGGCCAATGAGAGCTGCAGAGTTGGCGCTCGGGGTTGGGGCAGTGAGCAGAGACCCCCCCTGCTCCCTCCCCACAGGGGCTGCAGGGACGTGCCGGCCGCTTCCAGGAGCGGCGCAGGGCCAGGGCAGGCAGGGAGCCTGCCTTAGCCCCACTGTGCCGCTGGACTTTTAGCGCCTAAAATCTCTCTGTTTGGCTTCAGTAGCCTCCAGGAGATAGAGCCCAATTCCGGGAGACTTCTGGGAAAACTGGGAGGGTTAGCGACCCTAGCTCATTAGGGACCCGCTCTCCCCACACAAGCAGCGTGTGCCTCAGTGCGGCACTAGGGGGCACTGGGTTGCACAGAGGAGCATGGGGGTTCAGCAGGGTGGGCCTGTGTGGTTGGGGTGGGGGTTCATTAGGGGGTGCTCTCCCCTGGCAGGCAGGGGGCGGGGGCAGCTGGCTGGCTGCGAGTCGGCAGGCGGCGCTCTCCTGACCGGGCTGCGCTGCAGGTGGACGCCCAGCTGCTGGTGGTGCAGAAGCTGGAGGAGAAGGAGCGGGTGCTGCAGGGGAACCTGGGCACGGTGGAGAAGGAGCTGACCCTGCGTAGCCAGGCCCTCGAGCTCAACAAGAGGAAGGTGAGTTGGGGGGCAGGGCTGTGGGCTGGGGACCTGGGTCGGGGGGGTTGATGAGGGCGATCCGCAGGCGAGGGCGAGGGGGAGTGGGGTGGCGGCGGCGGCTCTTTTGCACCCACAGGGCAGTCTCCTGGGAGAACCCTTATTTCTTGGCTAAGCTTCTGCTGCCTCAGCCCAGCCTTCTCCCACTCAAGAGTCCCTCTGCTTCCTGGTCTGTCATTGGGGTTCCTGTTCACAGGTGTGGATCCCAGTGTACCCGATCTCATCGCAGATGCTTGGCCAGGCCTCATGCCTCTCTCCCCTAGGAGTCACCTGCCCAGTTCCGCTCAGCGGATGGGGAAACTGAGTCACACATGTTGGTTATAAAAATATGACCAATATCTCCACGTTTGTTGGTGATGCTGCTGGAGGGAAGCTACCAGCATCGGGATGGGCTCTGTGGCTGAGGCCCTCCTGTGGGGGGAAGCTGGCAGTGCTGTGGGGTGTTCCCCAGTGGGAGCACTCCCATAGGGGAAGATTACAGTGCCGGAGGCACTGTTCAAGGGGAAGCTCGCAATGATTGACATTCCCTCCTCCTGCAGGCGGTGGAAGCGGCCCAGCTGGCCGAGGACCTGAAGGTGCAGCAGGAGCATGTGCAGTGCAAGCTGAAAGAGATCCAGGCCTGCATGGCCGAGAACCGCGCTGCCAAGGAGAAGGAGTCCTTCAACCTCAAGAGGGCCCAGGTAGGGGGCGGGGGCTTGTGGGGCATACTGGGGGGAGGGGCAGGGGAGGGCCCGGGCCCTCTTGCTGACTGGATCTTCCCTGCACTCCAGGAGGACATCTCCCGGCTGCGGCGCAAGCTGGAGAAGCAGAAGAAGGTGGAGGTGTACGCCGACGCTGACGAGATACTGCAGGAGGAGATCAAAGAGTACAAGGTGGGCAGGGGGCAGCTGCGGGAGGAGGGAGAAGCCTGGCACGGGGGCCGGGGGGTGCGGGGAGGCACGAAACTTGGGGAGGGCCTGTGCTCAGGCTCTGGGGTTGGGGGGAAGGAAGCCCGCCCCCCCCCACTAACAGGGTCTGTGCCCTCCCTGCCCCCCTAGGCCAAGCTGACCTGTCCCTGCTGCAACACACGCAAGAAGGACGCGGTGCTCACCAAGTGCTTCCACGTCTTCTGCTTTGACTGCGTCAAGACGCGCTACGACACCCGGCAGCGCAAGTGCCCCAAGTGCAATGCTGCCTTCGGCGCCAACGACTTCCACCGAATTTACATCAGCTGAGCGCCTGCAGTTCCTCTTCCCACCCCATCCCCTAGCCCAACGTTCCACAGATCCACCCCCTCCAGGAACCACGCGGCGGTCCCCTCCCTCCTGCCCTCTGCAATCCGCTCAGCAGGTGCTGCCAGGATTCCCTTGACCCATCACTGAGGATCGCACCCAAATGATGCCCGATCCCCTGAGGATCTGCTCCTCACAGCTCTCTGGATCCTCCCCCAGGCTCTGCTCTGTGCTCACTCTGTGGGTTCTGCCGGGGTCTGCTCCCCTGGGGCTGGTCTCCTCCCTCTGATATTTGAACCCCGGTGAGAGCCCTGTTGTGCCGAGAGGATGCCCTTGGGGGCGAAGGGCCGCAGGGCAGCAGCTGACTGTGTGTGTGGCGGGGTGGGGACTGTTCATTCTATTTGGATTTTATTTTATTTTTAAATACTATGTTTGGTTATGTGGGAAATAAAAATTGGAGAGTCCCACTGGGGCCAGATCCTCCAGCCTGGGAGCGTCTGTATCGGTGCTTGGGGAGGGGAACCGGGGGAGGACCACAAACACGGGGGTCACACAGGAAGCTTTTACGGTACATCTACACTGCAATTAAAACCCTGTGGCTGGCCCGTGCCAGCTGGCTCGGGCTGTGGGCTGTTTAATTGCAGCATAGAGTCCCGGCCTCGGGCTGGAGCCCAGGTTCTAGGACCCTGTTTTGTAATCGGACTGTGATTAAAAGGCCTTACAGAAGTCTAAATATATCCTCATCCAAACAAAGTTACCAACATTTGCCTGGATCTGTTGTCCGTAAACCCATGGTGCTTGGTATTAATTACTTTGCTTTCCTTTATTAATGGAGCCCCCCCATCAGCTGATCTGTTATCTTCAGTGGGATTGAGGTCGGGCTGACAGGCCTATGATTATCTAGGTCGTCCTGTTTACCCTTTTAAAATATCGGCAAATCTTTTGCATGTGGTCAGGCAGGGCACTGCCAGGTGGCAGCTCGCAGCTTCCATGCTCCAGGAGAGTGGGAATGGGGGGTGCCTCCTTTTCCAGCCTGTCAGCACTGGAGAGTTGGGAGCTGCTGAGCTGAGATGGAAGGGTTGTCCCATGACCCCAGAGTCTTCATCCACCCAGTGAAATGTAAGGGGAATGCTGCATCCCATCAGCCGCCTTGCTGCCATGATGGCTGAGAGGGGCTGGGGAGGAGACCCTGTTGTTGGGATGGTGCTGCTCCATTCATGTGGCCCTGCTCCCCTCCCAGAACTGGGGCAGAGAACCCTGGAGTTGAGTCCCAACCCACAAGGCCCCACTCCCCTCCCAGAGCCATGGATAGAACCTGGGACTCTTGACCTCCTCCCAGCTGGCTCAACCTCATTCCCCTCCCAGAGTTGAGGATAGAATCATAAAAATGTAGGACTGGAAGGGACTTTGATAGCTTGTCCAGTCCCGTGCACTGAGGCACTTTAAGTATTATCTAGACCGTTCCAGACAGGTGTGTGTCCAATTCTGGCTGTTCTTAAAAACCTCCAGTGACGGAGATTCCACACCCTCCCTTGGTAACCTGTTCCAGCATTTAACTACAGGATGTTTATCCTAATATCTAACCTAAGTCTCCCTTGCTGCAATGTAAGCCCATTACTCTTGTCCTGGCCTTAGTGTATAAGGAGAACAATTTGTCACCCTTCTCTTTGTAACAACCTCTTACATACTTGAAGACTGTTATCATGACTCCCTTCAATCTTCTCCAGAAAAACTCAGTTTTTTCAGTTGTTTTCTAGACCTTTAATCAGTTTTGTTGCTCTCCTCTGGACTCTCTCCAATTTGTCTACATCCATCCTGAAATGTGACCAGAACTGGACACAGTACTCCAGTTGAGGCCTAATCAGTGTGGAGTAGAGCGGAAGAATTACTTCTCCTGTCTTGCTTACAACACTGCCACCAATACATCCCAGAATGTTGTTTGCTTTTTTTGCAATAGTGTGACACTCTTGACTCATATTTAGCTTGTGATCCACTATGACCCCCGGATCCCTTTCTGCAGTACTCCTTTCAAGGCAGTCATTTCCCATTTTGTATGTGTGCAACTGATTGTTCCTTCCTAAGTGGAGTACTTTGCATTTGTCATATTGAATTTCATCTTATTTATTTGACTATTTCTACAGTTTGTCAAGATCATTTTTAATTCTAATCTTGTCCTCAAGTGCTTGCAACCCCTCCCCTCTTGGTGTCATCTGCAAACTTCATAAGTGTACTCTCTACGCCATTGTCCAAATTATTTATGAAGATATTGAACAGAACCGGACCCAGAACTGATCCCTGTGCGACCCTGCTTGATACGCCTTTCCAGCATGACTGTGAACCACTGATAACTAGTCTGAGTACCGTTTGCCAACCAGATGTGCATTCACCTTATAGTAGGTTCACCTAGGCTGTATTTCCTTAGTTTGCTTATAAGAAATTCATGTGAGACCGTATCAAAAACCTTACTAAAGTTGAGATATGTGACATCTGCTTTCCCTTCTCAATCCACAAGTCTTGTTATCCTGTCAAAGAAGGATATTAGGTTGGTTTGATAAGATTTGTTCTTGACAAATTCATGTTGACTGTTACTTATTACCTTTTTTTCTAGGTGCTTACAAATTGAGTGTGTGTTTGCTCCATTATCTTTCTGGGTACTGAAGTTAAGCTGACTGGTCTATAATTCCCTGAGTTGCCCTTATTCCTCTCTTTTTTGGTAGATACAGTATTTGCCCTTTTCCCATCCTCAGGTATCTCTCCCATTCTCTATGAGTTCTCAGAGATAATCACTAATGGCTCAGAGATCTCTTCAGCCAGTTCCTTAAGTATTCTAGACTTACTTCATCAGGCCCTGCTGACCCCTGAAGACATCTAACTTAATTCGTAACTTGTTCTTTCCCTATTTTAGCCTCAGATTCTACCCCATTTACACTGATGTTCACTATGTTAGATGTCCAGTCACTGCTAACCTGTTTGGTGAAAACTGAAACAAAAAGAGCATTTAACACTTTGGCTATTGCTGTGTTTTTTATTGTCATTGTCTTTCCCTCTTCATTGAGTAATGAGCCTACCCTGTCCTTGGTCTTCCTCTTGTTTCTAATGTATTTGTAAAATGTTTTCTTACTACCCTTTATGCCCCTAGCTAATTGAATCTTGTTTAGTGCCTTGGCATTTGTAACTTTGTCCCGACATGGTCTCATCCTTTGTAATTTGACCTAGTTTCCACTTTTTATATGACTCTCTTTTGAGTTTCAGGTCTTTGAAGATCTGGAGTTGTCAGGGTGGTCTCTTACCGTACTTCCTTCTCTCCTGAGCCCAGGGATAGTTTGCTCTTAATAATGTCTCTTTAAAAAAACGCCAATTCCCCTGCACTTGTTTCCCTTAGACTTGCTTCTCATGGGCTCTGACCTGCCATTTCTCTGAGTTTGCTAACACCTGCCTTCTTGAAGTCCATTGTTGTTTTTTATTCTGCTGTTTTCCCTCCTACCATTCCTTAGAACCGTGAACTCCATCTTTTCATGATCACGTCAACCCAAGCTGCCTGCCATGTTCAAATTCTCAACCAGTTCCTTCCTGTTTGTCAGAATCCACTCTAGGACGGCCTCTCACCTAGTCGCTTTCTCCACCTTCTGTAATAAGAGTTGTCTCCAATGCATTCCAAGAACTGGTTGGAAAATCTGTGTCCTTCTGTATTATTTTCCTAACAGTTGTCTGTGTAGGTGAAGTTCCCCATCACCGCTAAGGTCTGGTTGTACTACAGACTTCTATCGGTATAACTTCATCCCTCAGGCGTGTGTGAAAAATCCACACGTCTGAGCGACGAAGTTACACCAGCCTAACCTGCCATGAACACAGCGCTATGGCAGCAGGAGAGTTGCTTCCATCGACATAGTTACCACCTTCTGGGGAGGTGGATTAACTATGACAAAGGAAGAGCTCTTTTCTGTCATCTTAGATGCAGCGTTTTAAGGGGGCGTTTGCCCTAAGTCTGGGGCTTGGGATGATTTTGTTAGTTGCTTAAGAAAAGCCGCCTCCACCTCTTCTTCCTGGTGTGGTCGTCTCTCGTAGACCCCTCCCATGACGTCACCCTTATCTTTTACTCCTTTCATCCTTTCTCAGAGACTTTCAGCCATCTGCTTCCCTTCTCTTTCAATCTCAGTGTAAGCGTACGCATCTTGGATATTCAAGGCAACACCTCCTCCCTCTTTCCCCTGCCGGTCCTTCCTGAACAAGCTGGACCCCTCTATGCCAATATTCCAGTCATGTGAATTGTCCCACCGAGTCGTTGTGATGTCAGGGATGGCCCAAGTGTGATTATTCACTAATATTTTTAGTTCTTCCTGTTTATTCTCCATACTTCTAGCATTAGTGTACAGACATCTAAGAACCCAGGAGTCCTGACTCCCAGCCCCCGGATCTAACCCACTAGACCTAGAGCTGGGGACTCCTTGAGCAACATAAGCTGGGTGAGTGAAGTTCTGCTCCTGGGCTCCAGCTGGTCTCATTGGGGCTGGTTTCTGCTGTTCCATGAACCCCCTGGGGCTGTGGATGAACAGGTCAGGACTGACCCAGGTTTCAGCACCTCTAGCAGGGCTGGGGCTAGACTTCTGCAATGCCTCACACCGAGCCCAGGGGCTGCTGCAGGGAGTACACAGCACCCCCTAGTGGCGCATTTGGGGCTAGCGCTGACTGCAAGGGGAGAGCGCCCCCTACTGAGCCCCCACCCCGATCTGGGTGCAGTGACCCCTTAGCACCAGTCTGGGGCCAGCACTGACTGTGAGGCCCTCACCCCACTCCGACCCAGGTCCCGTGACCCTGCTGGGCCCGTAGGAGCTGGTGGTGCAAGTAGCCCCGGGTTTCAGGACACGTGCTAATGCCCCACCTTCCCTGGCTGTCGTCTCCGCTGGGGGTCCAGGGCCATGCTCGCACCCCCCCACCCCAACACACACAATGCGGCGATTCCTAGAGGAGATGAGGAACTATTGCAAGGAGGGGACGGAATAAGGCGGGGACCTTCCTGTTCCCAGCAATCCCCCCGGCTTGTGTTGTGTGTGTGAGCCTGGCAGCTGGGAGGGGAGCACACAAAGAGACCCGCTGCCACCCGTGCCTCGGGGCTGCGTCTCCGGCTGCAGCCCCGGCCCCGCGAGGGGATCGCCCCGGCTGGGCGGGGGCGCGAACAGCAGCCGAGGCAGGAAATCGCTGCCCGGAGGAAGCGGCCGCGGTGAGGAGGGGATCGGGGCTGGGACCGGAGAGACACCCCCGCCCCCAGCCAGCTCCGGGGTAGCCCGGGGAGGGGGTCTGTGCAGCTGAGCCCAGCGGGGTCCCCAGCTCCGAGGCAGCGGCGGGGTGGGGCTGCGGATGGGAAAGATGCTAAACCCAGGTGATCTGGCCACGGGGGTCCCTGGGAGCAGAGGGGAGAGAGCGGCGATGGTTGCAAAGCCCCCCCCCCCCACCGCACAGCACCCCCGGGCATGTGGCTCTTAATTCCAGCTGGAAATTGTGCAGGAGCCTTGTTTAAATAACTTCCTCCAGGCCTGTTCTGAATGGTGCAGAAATGGAACCCAGGAGTCCGGGGTGTGGAGGGTGTCTGGGTATTTGATCTTCTCCCCTGCCCTCCTGGTTCTCCAGGCCCCAGGGATTGCTGTGCTGATGGTGTCTGCCTCCTCGAATTGGCATGTGTATTGGGGGTAGCAGGGTTGGGGCTGGCTGAAGGTTTGAGCACCCAGGGGGATGGGTTGAGATAAGTGCATGAGCTGGACAGGGCAGCTCAACGACTTTGACGTTTTACACGTCATCATTAGGTTTCAGAGTCGATGCCCCCAGTGAGAAGAGTGGAGGCAATTCATGCCTTTCAGGGCAAGTCTACGCTATGACCTAAATACGGCCCTTGCAGTAATTGAATCGGTTTTACACGTCCACACTACGCTCCTTGTGTCAGCGGTGCACGTCCTCACCAGGATCTTATTAGCTACCAGCGTGGGGTAGTGGGGGATGGTTTCCTAAAGGCAGCAACGGTCGATGTAAGTAACGCAGTTTTTACACGGGACACTGTGTCGACCGAACTACATCGACTTAAGCGCTACGCCTCTCGCGGAGGTGGAGTTATTAAGTCGGTGCAGTGGGCGAGTTACATTGGTGGGAGCTACATTTTAGTGTAGATGCTTACAGAGCCAGGCCGATGTAAGCTGCCTTACGTCAGCCTAGCTGTGTCGTGTGGACCAGGCCTCAGCGTGATCAGTTCAGGCTCTCTGCAGACTCAGGCAGATGTTGGGTCATGTTCTCCAGATTTTCTGTGCACCTGTGACATCTAGAAACATGTGAAAACCGAGGTTCTACTGCTAATTGTGCATTCTGGGCACTTAATACATGTCTCTTCTGATTTCTGGTTTCATCTTATTCGATGCCTAGCCTATCTCAATTCAGAAGTGATGAAATTAAAACCTTTAGCATGGAAAACTCATTGAGATCAACGGCTGCTTTCTAGGGCCAGATAATGCCCCAGGGCAGCTGTGGAGAGTTCTGTGTGGGGCCTGTGGCATGCGGAAGTGGAATCAGCTGGGAATAATGCAACGTCTTGTGGCTGTAAATTGTCCCAATGCCAAGTATCGGGCTGGGGGGTGTTGAGTGATGGTGCTGTGATTAGGTCCCATCTTAATTAAGCTCTTGGTTAAGGGTCCCTCTGGAAGTGGGGTGCTAACCGTGGATGGCACCTGAATGAGAAGGGGAAACGTAACAATGTGTTTGAATTCAGCAGCTCACTCCACATGACTGGGATCATGCCTGGCCCTGCCCCTGCCCCAGGATTCCCCGACCCGGCCAGGATCTCCCGCATGGAGCAAGGGGAAGGGCCCAGGGTCCCGGATCTCCAGGGCTCTGAGGAAAGGGAGATCCCGAGAGGTGCCTACACAGGTGAGGAATGAATGACACCGGCTTAGAGACTGGGAGTGAAGGGAAAAGCTGGTTTCCTAGCAAAGCCATTGGGAGCCCCCCTCCAGTTCTGTTTTCCACTCCCCCATTCCTGTTACTGTGTAACCCCATCCACAGCCATGTGCCCAGCAGTGGGGTGGGGGGGGAAGACTTGGGCTCCAACTCCTGCACCCTGTGGGGCCAGATGCCCCCCCTTGCGTCCTCCAATGCTCAGCACTGCCTCTTTCTGCTCCCCCCATGACAGCTGGGGAACCCCAAGGGCCACTGAGGATCCTAAAATCTCCCCAGCAGCATCTCCCTGAGCAATGCCCCACCCCACAATTCCGTTTCCATAGAGATGGGATGGGGAGATGTGAAAGGGGCTAGACCCCCATCACTATGGTTACAGGTGGGTAGGGACCTCCTGGCCCCATCTCTATAGTTACTGGGGTGCTGGGGCAGGGTGATATATGTTCTAGGCCCTATCGCTGTGGTATGGGCAGGGAAGAGCAGAGCAGAGCCGATCCCACTGTGAGTTGGCAGGGCAGCAGTCGTGGGTCCCCTGTGGCAGCTGGGCCACTGGGGCAGACGTGGCCTCTCCTCTCCCTTCTTGCGAAGGGTTGGGGGGAATTCAGCTTCCTGCCCATCAGCTTTTCTGCTTTGCCAGCCGCTGTCTCCCTTGGCCCAGGAATGAGCCCTGTCTGGATTCTCTGTCTCCTAGCATGTGCCAGGATGGAGGAGAATCCCCAGCGGGAAGGGCCTGCAGGAACGGAGTCTTACGGGAGCCCCAAGCAGGGGGAGGGCCGGCCCGACTGGGAGACGGTGTGCGAGAGCCCCCTGCAGGAGATCCTGGTGCACCAGCGCACCCACATGGGTGAGAAGCCCTACAAGTGCCCCGAGTGCGGGAAGAGCTTCCACCAGAGCTCCCACCTCATCCGGCACCAGCGCATCCACACCGGGGAGCGCCCCTACAAATGCGGCGAGTGCGGCAAGGCCTTCAGCCAGAGCTCGCTGCTGACCCGCCACCAGCGCACCCACACCGGGGAGCGCCCCTACAAATGCCCCGACTGCGGGAAGAGCTTCAGCCGCGGCTCCAACCTCAGCCAGCACCAGCGCATCCACACCGGGGAGCGCCCCTACCAGTGCACCGAGTGCGGCAAGAGCTTCACGCTCAGCTCCCACCTGATCCGCCACCAGCGCACCCACACCGGGGAGCGGCCCCACAAATGCGGCGAGTGCGGCAAGGCCTTCGCCGAGAGCTCCCACCTCCGCCAGCACCGCCGCACCCACCGGGGCGAGCCGCCCTACAAGTGCCCCGACTGCGGGCGCGCCTTCGCCCTGAGCCTGGACTTCGTGCAGCACGTGCGGGAGCACACGGAGCGCCGGCCCTACCGCTGCGGGGCCTGCGGGCGCCGCTTCCCCCTCAGCTCGGCCCTCTCGCAGCACCGCAAGAGCCACCACCGCCCCCCGGCCGCCCCCAAGGCCCACCCCTGCGGGGTGTGCGGGAAGGTGTTCGGGAAGAGCTCGCACCTGGTGACCCACCGGCGGGTGCACACGGGCGAGAAGCCCTTCGCCTGTGCGGAGTGTGGGCGCGGCTTCAGCCAGAGCGCCGACCTGGCCAAGCACCGGCGCACCCACACCGGCGAGCGGCCCTACCCCTGCCCCGAGTGCGGCAAGCGCTTCAGCGTCTCCTCCACCCTGGCCAAGCACCAGCGCAGCCACAAGGGCGAGCGGCCCTACCCCTGCCCCGAGTGCGGCAAGCGCTTCAGCCAGAGCTCCAACCTCGCCCAGCACCAGCGCAGCCACCGCGGGCACCGGCCCTACCGCTGCACCGAGTGCGGCAAGGCCTTCGCCCAGAGCTCGGCCCTCCTGCAGCACCACCGCACCCACACCGGCGAGAAGCCCTTCGCCTGCCTGCAGTGCGGCAAGGCCTTCAGCCTCAGCTCCAACCTGCACCAGCACCGGCGTACGCACCGCGGAGACGCCGGCCCCGCCTGGGGCGTGGCTGGGGGAGCTGGCCCGCTCGGACGCATTCGGAAATACCTTGGCTGACCCGGAGGGGACACGGGAACCCCACGGGGGTGTCCCCGGGAGGGGAGGGGATTTAAAGCAGGGAGGGGGCTGATAACCAAGACGCCTAGGTTCCCTGGGGGGTAGAGTCTAGTGGTTAGAGCAGGGGGCTGGCAGTCAGGACACTTGGGTCCTTTCCCTGACTCTGGAAGAGGAGTGGGTCCAGGGGTGAGAGAAAGAGGGACAGGGAGACAGGACTCCTGGGTTCTCGTCCCGGCTCTGGGAGGAGAGTGGGGTCTAGCGGTGAGAGCAAGGTGGGAGACCGGACTCCTGGGTTCTACCCCGGCTCTGACATTTTGCTTTTGTGCTCTTGGGGGAGTCTTTTCCCCTGTCTCTGCCTTAGTGCCTCATCTGGGAAAAGGGGACAGTGCTGCTGACCCACCTTCGGGAACGCGCTTTGGGATCTAGGGCTGAAGAGCGTTGGCTGGGAACTCCGCATGATACATAGGCTCATCCGAAGGGGATCGGAGTGCAATGAGGGAGGGGACGGATGGGTTATTTAGAATTCATGTGGAGGGAGGGGGAGGAGGCAAATAAGAGGGTGGGGAGGGAGGTTTGGGTCAGGGTGGGGACTCCACGAAAGAAGAGGTTTTGGGGAAACGTTGGAGAAAGAAGGATTCGAGTTTCTCCCTGGTGCCCTGGGAATCCCATCCGTGCTGGAGCTGGGGGAGAAGTGCCCCAGTTTGGGGGCCTCTCCTGCTCTCCCACCCCCCATTCAGCAGGGATCATTAACTCTTGCAGGCCCATCCTGTCCCCTAATGCCTGTGCCCGTCCTGGGCGGGGGAGACCATCCCTTCACTCTCCAGAATCTGGCTGCCTCTGGACCCTGCTCTCTGCTCCTTCCCCTTTCACAGGCACCAGGGGGTTCGGGAGCTGTGGGGGGCGTGTGAGACTGCTGAGTACCAGAGAGGCTGCTCCCTGAGAGGCTGGACAAACGGACACACCCAGATGGGGGGCAGCCTGTCTCCTTCTCTCCAGCGCCTGGCTCCTCTCTTTGCACCGCATGGAGCTGTTCATTTAGGAGCCTAGTGACACCTGGGGAACATCCCTTCCTGGCCTGGAGCAGACAGAGAGCTTCCCAGAAGTCAGTCTGGCCCCAGCCCAAACCCTGTGTTCCCAACAGGTGCCTGGATCCTGCTCCCCTGCTGGATTTTGTGACCGATGGGGTCTCTTGTTGTGTTATCAAGTTGTATCTGTAGGAAATAAACTCCCTTCCTCTGTGATTTGCCTCCCCCCGTGTCTGTACTGTGGACCCCGTCTTGGGGGTCAGAATGGCCCTGGACATGTCGCTGTGCCGGCATGGAAGCCCAGATGCTGCTTGGGCTCCCAGATGGGCCAGGAGGCTCCCAGTTCTGTGGTGGGGTCCAGACTATACTGATAGAGACCTCAGGGAGACCTCCCAGACTGTAACGCCCCCTCCAGGATTCTAAACCATAGAGACTCCTGGGAGACCTCCCACATTCCAGAATGGAACCTCCTCCAGGATTCTAAACCATAGAGACCCCTAGCAGCTCTACCCAAGCGTAACGCCATCAGGTCTCCAAATCAAAGAGGCACTGAATCCTCCCACCGTGTAATCCTTTCAGGACTCTAAATCATAGCAACCCTCAGCAGCCCTCCCAGACTCCTTCAGGATTCTAAACCATAGAGATGCTTGGAAGACGTCCCAGAGTGTAACCTCTGCAGGAGACCAAATAATAGAGACTCCCCAAGAATGCTCCTAGATTGTAACACCCTCCAGGGCACTGTACTCTCGAGCAGTGTTTCTCAATGACCGGTCTTTGGACCACTGCTGGTCTCTGAGATCTCCCCGACACAGTCTAGGAAGGCAGCAAGCCGGTCCCTGGGATCAAAAAGCTTGAAAATACCTAGATCAGTGCAGGTGTTAGCCCACTGGGTGCCCGAAGTAAAAAATGTTTGGTTCCCCCCAATACTAAAACAAGAAAATAGGGGTCCCCCTTGAGCTGCTCAGGGCCCTAAGCAATTGCTTAGTCTGCTTATGCGCAATGCCAACTCTGCCCTAGATCATAATGCTCCCCAACCCATAACCATAGAGAGATGGACAGTGACATGGCTAGATTGGTACTACACAGGTGGTCACTCTGGCCATATTTCTGTGGCAAGGCTGGAAGAGAAAACTGTATCTCTATGGTTATTAGACTCCTGGAGGGTGCTTGGAAAACTCACCATAGAGACCCTGCCCTGGAGTTTCTCCCAGCTGGCCTACAATCCTGGGCAACGTTAGTGCACTGGGTGACATAATGGATAGTGGACCAATGCAGGCAGCCACTCTTAACTACATCTCTGTGGCTGCAGGGTGGCTGTGGGGGATCAGTGCTCCACGGTCAGGGAGGCCTTGGGGCGGTGGCCGGGTGGGCAGAGCCAAACAGAAATTGCGGGGGGGGGGGGGGGAGGGAGGGAAGGAATCTATATTATGTAGATAGTCAATGCATATTAATCCAGCATGTATACTGCTCTTGCATACTTCTCATGAGATGCCTGGATCTCTGGTCCCACAGACAGGGGACTGGCCTAGGGGATGTTGGTTTGCCTCCCCAGCCTCCTGGGGAGAGAGAGAAACCTCAGACAGGGCAGGGCAGAATCCACACCCCCAGTGTTGCTGACTCTCTTGATTTTTCATGAGTCTCATGATAATTATTTTTCCTTAAAGCCCCAGCTCCTGGAGTCAAGTGGAGATGTGATCATTTCAGCCTTCATTCTTTCAGAAAAAGTACGTTTCTAGCCCTCGTGGCTGTGGAGAAAGCTTCAACATGCGACCCCTGTGCAGCCTAAAGACTCACAAAGCAGAAGGCAAAGAAAAAGACCCCCACATCTATTATTTTTACCTCATCTCATGATTTTGGGTGAGCCTGACTCTTGATTTTTGAATATCTGGGATTGGCAATACTGCTCACCCTCCTTGTTGTCTGCCTCCCGCTGAAGTTTAGCAGGGGGCTTCCCCATCCTGGTTATGCTTCAAACACCCCAACAAAAGAGCCTCTGTTGCATTATGAGTGGGTGTAACAGACCCCAACCAGTAGGGGGCAGCACCCCCAAAGGGGGAAAGGCCCCACGTCCCATTCCCCACCTCCCAGAGCCAGCCAGTCCCCTGCTCTGGCTGGGGCTGGATCAGAGCTAGTGCCCCTGATCGTGAGCCACAGCTTTGCCCTTCGGACATTCACTTTGCTCTCATTTCTGCCTCCTGGCGCTCCCTGTCCCTGCCAGGCGACCACCGGGGCCAGTTACAGCTCCCCACCCCCCTCATGAATATGCAAGAGGAGGTGGGCCAGAAACCTCCCAAGTGGCCGACCCTGCCCAGGGTGCATTGCAAAGGGAAACTGCATTTCCCAGAGCCCCTTGCAAAGGGGACAGACCGAAGCGTGGGACAGGCTCCCCGCGCCAGCCCGTTCCCACCCCGTTGGTTCCTGCCCAGAGCGGCAGGTGCGGCGCGGGGTGCCCGCCCCGGTGGCTCCCGGCGGGGCTGGAGGAGGCTCCCGCGGGGCGGGGGGTCCCGGCGGACGGGCAGAGGCAGCGCTGCGGGACGCGCCGCAGGAGAATTACCAGGCTCCGGGCTCGCTGGCGGCGGCGCTGCCCCGCGGGGATCAGGAGCTCGCGGGCTCTGACGGCCCCGGGGCAGCTCCGGCTCAGGGCTCGTCCCCGCTGAGATCTCTGGGGGACCGGCCCCCAGGCCCAGCAGCCCAGGGACTGTCACCCCCCAGCGCGGATCCCGTGTCCCCCCAGCAGGGAGCGGGGCCCGGGTTCTCCGGACCGAGACCTCGGGGCAAATTTCACCGAGCCCCGTCTCGCCTGTTTCCTTCCCCAGAGCAGGACTCCCCGTCCCGGCCGGGATCCCCCGCGCGGAGCCAGGGGAAGAGCCGAGGGTCCCGGATCTCCCGGGCTCCGAGGACGGGGAGAGCCCGAGAGGCGCCCACCCAGGTGAGGGATGAGCGACACCGGCTCGGAGACCGTCCGGGAGGGAAGGGACCAGCTGGGACCCCAGCAAAGCCGCCGGGAGCCCCCAGTTCTGTCTCCTCCCAGTATCGTCCCCAGCAGGTCCCTGTCCTCAGGGCAGGTGTCACTCCCGGATCCCCCCGGCAGGAGCCCTCCCCTCCCCCAGCCTTTCCCTGGGGGCTCAGCTGGGCTGTTGGGGCAGCCCCGGCCCCCCTCTCCCCTCAGGGAAGGGTTTGGGGGATTCACGTCCTGCCCATCAGGTTTTCCGCTCAGCGACAAACCCCTTTGCTGCCCCCCCCCTTCACCCCAGCGCAGGGACCGAGCCCCACCTGGATTCTCTCTCTCTCTCCCAGCAGGTGCCGGCATGGAGGAAGAGACTCCTCAGCAGGCAGGGCCTCTGGGAGCAGAGCCGCGCGGGACCCCCGAGCAGGGGCAGAGTCAGGGTGGGCTGGGCCGGCCCTACCAGTGCCCCGAGTGCGGGAAGAGCTTTGCCCGCAGCACCCTCCTGATCCGGCACCAGCGGATCCACACCGGCGAAAAGCCCTACAAGTGCGGGGAGTGCGGGAAGAGCTTCTACCAGAGCTCCAACCTGGTGCAGCACCGGCGCGTCCACACGGAGGAGAAACCGTTCGGCTGCCCCGACTGCGGGCGCGGCTTCCGCCACAACGCCCACCTGGCGCAGCACCGGCGCGTCCACACCGGCGAGCGCCCCTTCCCCTGCCCCCAGTGCGGCAAGGCCTTCAGCCAGCGCTCCAACCTGCTGCAGCACCGGCGCGTCCACACCGGCGAGCGCCCCTTCGTCTGCACCCACTGCGGGAAGGGCTTCAGCGACAGCTCCAACCTGCTGCAGCACCTGCGCACCCACACGCCGGAGAGACCCTATCCGTGCCCCGAGTGCGGGCGCAGCTTCCGTCACGGCAAGCACCTGACCCAGCACCGCTCCCTGCACACGGGCCAGAAATCCCACCGCTGCCCTGACTGCGGGAAGGGCTTCAACTGGAGCTCCCACCTCGCCCAGCACCGGCGCATCCACACTGGGGAGCGGCCCTACCAGTGCCCCCAGTGCGGGAAGGCATTCACACAGAGATCCAATCTCTTGCAGCACCAGGCCCTCCATCGCCCTGCCCAGGACCTGGCTGAGCAGCTGCAGATGAACCATGTGGCTTAGGGATGGCTGGGGTTAGAGGTCATGCTGGAGAGGAGAGAGACCCGCCTCTCAGCATCGGATGCCTGGGGTCAAAGGTCTGACGATGTCCGACACTCAGGACTCCCCCACAGCATGGACACACCAACGGGACCCCACTCGGACATGCTGCCAGAGAATGCGGGGGTGGATTAAACAAGCTCCCTGAGGGGACTTACTTGCTGGAGAGGAGAGCTGGGGACATTATTAATAAAGGGTGTAAAGCAGTGGTTCTCAAACTTTTGTACTGGTGACCCCTCTCACACAGCAACCCTCTGAGTGCGACCCCCCCCCCCAACAAATTAAAAACACTTTTTTACATATTTAACACCATTATAAATGCTGGAGGCAAAGCGGGGTCAGGGTTGGAGGCTGACAGCTCATGACCCCCTGAGGGGCCCTGACCCCCAGTTTGAGAACCCCCGGTGTAAAGTAAGAGTGTGTGGGTGGGTGTGCACGGGTGTGTGTACAGCACTGCCCCCTCCTGGAGGGAATTGGGGCTGTGTGTGTGCGCACATGCATAGCACTGCCCCCTGCTGGAGGGAATTGGTCATGTATGTGCAACACTGCCCCCTGCTGGAGGGAATCAATTGTGTGTGTGTGTGTGTGTGTGCACATGTACAGCACTGCCCCCTGCTTTAGGGAATCTGTCATATATGTGTGCAGCACTGCCCTCTACTGGAGGGAATCAGGTGTGTGTGTGTGTGTGCGCATGTGCACAGCGCTGCCCCCTGCTGGAGGGATTCAGGGCTGTGTGGATCCCTGCTGCCCCCTAGTGGAGTAAATGAACCCAGGTACCTGTGTGATTCTGTATCTAAGTGGTAATATCAGACACTTTCCCCCCTCACAAACCCCCTCCTCGCCATTTCACCATCAGCCCACATGAAATCCAGATGGCAAGAAAAATAGCTTTTGTCCTAGAGGGAACACAAGCCCCAAGGCAGGACAAAATCCAGCTGTTGGCAAGGAAGAGAGCCCTCTGCACTCCACAGCACAGCCCTCCCAGAGCCAGGGCACCCATCCCCTGCTCTCATCCACTAGACCCCACTCCCCACCCAGGACTGGGGATTGAACCAGTGGTGCTGGGACAATTTGTGTAGTGGGAGGTGGTGAGAGCCATTGAACCAAACTGTAGACCCTGGATATAATGGAAACCACTTCAAGTCAGCCCACACACTCCTAGTTCCAGCACCTATGGATCGAACCCAGCACTCTCAGCCCAGCTCTCCCGCAGGGTGCTACAGATGGGCGTTCAGAGCAGCTGCATGGCTCTTCCCCAAGGCACTGAGATTTCACAGTGGAGTGCCCTGTTTGGGGGATCCCCCATGGGAGACATCTCACTTCAATTGTAGGGTGGGTGTGAGAGATGCAAATCCTTCCTCTCAACTGGTTAAAGCTCCCAGAGTCATTTTGGACCTGGTCTGTTTTTCAGTGTAATGTGGTAATACCCCTTGGCTGAAATCAGTCACCCTGACCACCGGCTTTCCTCATTTGCTCCATGTGCAGCACCTGGCACAACGAGGGCTCGATCTCAGCTGGGGTCTGTGCAGCGTCTGGCACAATGGGGGCCCCGATCTTGGTCAGGGCCTGACAGAAGTGGGGGAAGAGGTGAGGGTCGGGACCCAGCGGGAGACTTGTTGGAGTGGGAGGTGAGGGAGCCAGCAGGGTGTCCAGTGCGGGCTGCATAAGCAGCAAAGCACAAACCCCGCTAGCTAATAGTGATTGAAGAATCCTCTCTGCCCCGCGTCACGGGTCGCCAGCTGTTCCCTGTGGGCTGGTACCTATTCTCTGATACTTGCCACACTCCCCTCCAGTGGCTGGCCTGCGTAGTGGATAACAGCCCACTGCTGCTACCAGCAAAGGGATGACTCCTTTCAGAGCTCAGGGCTGATGGGCATAGGCAGTAGTCAAGAGAGAAGAACAACCTACTACTGCTGCTTGACTCAAATAGGAGAGAGCCTGGCTGGGCTGTCCTCCCAAAGGCTTTGAATGCAATAGTGCTGGTGGCTCGGGGCAGGGGCCTGCTGTACATGGAAGATAACAGCTTACTATGGCAGCCTGCAGGTGCATTACTCCATCTCAAGTAGCAGCATGTTGTGAGGTGAAAGGGAAGGCCCTGGGTTCGATTCCCAGTCAGGGCTGTTCTGCTGTGTGCTGGCAGCCCTTGTTGATGTTAGGGGGTGCTCAGTGCTGCTGCAAACAGGGTGTTAGGTGCCCCTGAATAGCAGCCACATTGGCCTCAGGCTGTCAGGGCAGGTTTGTGCAGCTCTGAGACTGGCCACCAGCACATTGTGGAGGCCCAGCACTCTGGCTGTCTGCTGGAGAGGGAGATAACTCTCTCTCTATCCCCATACACCCCCTGTACCTATTTCTAGCCCCTTGCACTACCTCCTCTACCCTCATACCCCCAATCCATAAGAACAGCCAGACTGGGTCAGACCAAAGGTCCATCTAGCCCAGTTTCCTGTCTTCCAACAGTGGCCAATGCCAGGTGCCCCAGAGGGAATGAACAGAACAGGTGATCATCAAGTGATCCATCCCCTGTCGCCCATTGCCAGCTTCTGGCAAACAGAGGCTAGGGACACCATCCTGGCTAATAGCCGTTGATGGACCTGTCCTCCATGAATTTATCTAGTTCTTTTTTGAACCCTGTTATAGTCTTGGCCTCTGGCAAGGAGTTCCACAGGTTGACAGTGCGTTGTGTGAAGAAATACTTACTTTGGTTTGTTTTAAACCTGCTGCCTATTAATTTCATTTGGTGACCCCGGGTTCTTGTGTTATGAGAAGGAATAAACAACACTTCCTTATCTACTTTCTCCACACCAGGCATGATTTTATAGACCTTACCATACCCCCATAGAAACCCCCAACCCTATACACCCCCCATCTCTCTCTATCCTCATAGCCCCTCCCAGCCCCATACAACCCCCATCTCTCTAGCCCCCCATATACCCTCATCCTCATACCCCCCCGTATCTCTCTATCCTCATAGCTCCTCCCAGCCCCAACCTCATAACCCCCCATCTCGCTCTATCCCCCTACATGCCCTCCTCCGCCCTCCAGGCTCTCCGACAGGGACTACATCCCCCAGAATGCCGTGCGCGAGGAACTACACCTCCCACAATGCCCCGCGCGGGGGTGGGGGCGCTCTAGAACCCCACTGCCTGGAGTCCCCTGCACCGGCCAGACTCGGGTCCCCGCTGCTCCCGCGCCCCCTGCCCAGGTAAGTGCGGGCAGCCGGGGCCCCGGGGTGTGTCCCGGCCTGGGGGGAGGGGCGCTTCCCGGGCCCCTCCCCCCGCCAACGTGTCCCCCGGGCAGCGCCGGACACCGGGCCTGCGGGGCGCCTCGCTCCTGCCCCGGGGGTGCAGCCTGCGCGGGGAGGGGCGGGTCAGTGTAACTCACTAACTCCCCCCGCATTACACCCACAGCGTATTTATAGCTGTGTGTGTGCAGGCAGCTACACTGCGTGTGTAACACCGACATGCACACACACGACATGCACACACACAGAGCATGTAACACGCATGCAGAAACACAAGGCATGTAACACACACACAGTGTAACACCCACACGTGTGCGCACACTCAGAGCATGTAACACACACACAGTGTAACACCCAGACGTGTGCACACACACAGAGCATGTAACACACACAGTGTAACACCCAGACGTGTGCGCACACTCAGAGCATGTAACACACACACAGTGTAACACCCAGACGTGTGTGCACACACACAGAGCATGTGACACACACAGTGTAACACCCACATGTGTGCACACACACAGAGCATGTAACACACACACAGTGTAACACCCACATGCATGTTACACGGAGCGTGTAACACACATGCAGAAACACAAGGCATGTAACACACACACAGTGTAACACCCAGATGTGTGTGCACACACACAGAGCATGTGACACACACAGTGTAACACCCACATGTGTGCACACACAGAGCATGTAACACACATGCAGAAACACAAGGCATGTAACATACAATGTAACACCCAGATGTGTATGCACACAGAGCATGTGATACACACAATGTAACACCCACATGTGTGGACACACACAGAGCATGTAACACACGGAGTATAACACCCACACGTGCGCACACAGAGAGCATAGAACACACACACAGTGTAACACCCACATGCATGTGCCACAAGTACTCCTTTTCTCTTCACACAGAGCATGTAACACACAGAGTGTAACACCCACACATGTGCACAGAGCATGTAACGCACAGAGTAACACACAGACACACAGTATAATGCGCACACAGAGCATGTAACACAGTGGAACACACACAGAGAGTGTGTAACAGGTGCACACAGAGTGTAACACACATGCACACAGAGTGCAGTAGACATACACACAGCATGTAATACACACTGCGCACATGTACAGAGTGTAACATGCACACACGCCCACACATATACACACAGTATAACACATATGCAGTGTAACATGCACGCACACAAAATGTGTAGCACGCACACTCTCACACACAGCTTAACACAGACTGCACACATGCACTAATGCACACACAGAGTGTAACACACTCACCACAGACACAGGCTGCATTCAGATTGCGCCCGCACAGCTTAACATACCCACGGCGTGTAACGCACTGACAGCGTGCACAGAGTGTAACACTGCGCGTCGGCAGTCTCTGCGTTACACTGTATACTTGTGACATTGTGTGTGTGTGTATGCAGTCAGTGGGTTGTGTTCTCTTCTCGTACCCATGGACTCCTCCTTGCTCTGTCTAATGTCTTCTCCCCACAGACCCGCTCCGGCCATGCCCAGCCTGGGGGTGCAGCCGCTCTGCACGGAGCAGTATGGCTCCCGTGGTGCCCGGTGCTACCTGCCCTCACCTGACGGGCGCCTAAGCTGTGTGGGGGATGAGCCAGGGTGTGTGGGATGGCGCTCGCTAAAGGAGATCTTCATGGTGAGATGAGGGGTGGGGGTCAGAGGGCAGTTGGCCGGTGGGGGTCAGAGGGCAAAGGTGGGGAGTTGGGGGGAGCCAGGAGGGCTGACGGGTAATTCAGAGGTGGGCAGGGGAGGAGGGGTTCAGAAGTCAGAGGGATCAGGGTGGGGGGCACAGATTGGGAAGGGGGTTTAGCCAGGCTCGATCTGAGTGTGGGGGGGTTGGAGGTTATGAAAGCGAGCTGAGGGTGAGAGATGAGGGGAAGGGCGATTGGGGGGCTTGGAGGAGTT